ACTCACTAAACAAGGGGGTTGGGCTTTAATGGCCATAAAAGGATAAAAGATGAGGTGCTAGGCCTGTGTGAAGTGGGCAACTGGTACTGAGACTCCTCCACATAAAGTTAGGGACTTAACAGGGTTATACCCTCAGTGAAAAGAGATGATAGAAGTCCACCCACCAGGACAGGAAGACCACAAGAAAATCTAACAACATCTCCTGGGCTTTGAGTGAGGAAAAAAAGCTTTGGCTGTCTGGAGAATTTATATTCGTGGCTCTTCCATCACAAGAGTTTGGGGTTCTAATATACATGAACTAAGTTGTCCAAGAAAACCCAAGGTGAGAATTTAATATAAAAAATTATCCTAAGCAAGTGGTATCTCCTAGGACATCTGGTAGAAACAAATGAAAGGGCATACCCTTAACCGAACCATTCCCAAGTCCTAGAAATAAAGCCTTTCTGAAAATTAGTCCACAATCCAAAATTACAACACAAAAGGAAAAAGATCCAGCATGAATCAAAGTCAGCAGTCATAGTACACAATAAGAAAGACTGCCAAGGCCTTCAACTAATAGAATGAAGACTATAAAATAAATGTTTAAATTAATTGAAGACATAAGGGAAGGAATAAAAACATAAGAAAAAATCAAGACACTAGCAAGAAAACCAGTCATATGGGGGGGAAAAAACTCTAGAAAATAAAAATAAAATCATTGAAAAGGAAATCTTGTTCAATTGACTATTAGCAGATAAACACACCTTGACAGATTTAGTGAGTAAGAAGACAAAGCTGCAAAATGTAACATAAGAGATAAAGAGAAGAAAATATCAAAGAGCCAGTAGATAAAGAAGAATGAATGAGAAAATCCAACCTATATCTGGTAAGAGTTCCAGAAAGAGTGAATAAAGAAGATAAAGAAGACACTATTTTTTTAAAAGATTTATTTATTTATTTTAGAGAGCGAAAGATCATGCACGCGTGTAGTGGAGAGGGACAGAGGGAGAAGGAGAGAGAAACTCAAGCAGACTCCAAGTTACATGGGCCTTGATCTCACAACTGTGAGATCATGACCTGAGCCAAAATCAAGAGTCAGACACTTAACCAACGACACCACTTAAGTGCCCCGATAAAGGAGACAAAGACAAATTCAGATTCTGATTCAGGAAACAGCAAATCCTAAGCACAGTCAGCAAAACTAAGTTCATACCAAATGCATTGTGCTGAAACTCCAGGACACCAAAAACAACTGGAAGCTCTAGCAACCAAACAGAAGCAAAGGCAGGATGCCTGAGGAGGAGCAAGAATCACGAGACTAAGAGCAGACTTCTTAATGGCATCACTAGAAGCTAACACAAAGTCCTGCCAGCTTGAAAGTACAAACAGAAAATAGAATTTCAACTTAATCTCTCATGAATATGGCCAAAATAAAAATATTTTCAGATAAGCAAAGGAGAGTACAGCCTCTGAAAAATTTATCACTGAAATAACTATGAAAGGATGCACTTTCAAAAGGCGATGGAACCTAAATGTAAGGAATTGGGAATATGAAGAAATAGAAAACAGAAGAACTGGGGGTGCCTGTCTGGCTCAGTCGATGGAGCAGGTGACTCTTGATCTCGGGGACATGAGCTCAAGCCCCACGTTGGGTGTAGAGCTTACTTTAAAAAATTAAAAAACAGGGACACCTTGGGGCGCCTGGGTGGCTCAGATGGTTGGGCGTCTGCCTTTGGCTCAGGTCGTGATCCCAGCGTCCTGGGATCGAGCCCCGCATCGGGCTTCCTGCTCAGCGGGGAGCCTGCTTCTCCCTCTCCCTCTGCCTCTCTCCCTGCTCTTGCTCTCTCCCTCTCTCTCTCTCTCTGTATCTCTGTGTCTCAAATGAATAAATAAAAAAATCTTTAAAAAAAAAATTTAAAAAAAAACAGGGACACCTGGGTGGCTCAGTCAGTTAAGCACCTGCCTTCGCCTCAGGTCATGATCCCGGGGTCCTGGGATCAAGTCCCACATGGGGAGCCTGCTTCTCCCTCTCCCTGCCCCCCACTCATGCTCTCTCTCACTATCTCTCTATCTCTCAAATAAATAAATAAAATATTTTTTTAAAAAATTAAAAAACAAAAGAACTGGTAAACATCTTGGCAAATCTGAATAAATATTCACTGACTCTATAAAAACCTGACTAATGCTGGCAGGACCATAGCGGGTATTTGGAGTTAAAGCATCCAGGTCCTTGTCTTGTTAAGAATAAGCATATGGATCAACTGTAGATTGGTTTAGACTTGATGTCCACTATGCGTGTTCAATATTTGAGGAAATCCTTAAGACACAGAGTGAGAATTGCATTGAGTGGTGGGACTTATTCAGAAAATAACTAGATAAACCAGGAAAAGGAAAATAGAAATCATTAGGAGAGAGAAGTAACCGGTGGAGGGCAAAAAGAGGGAATAAAGAAAACTCAATCCAACAGAAAGCAGGAACAGACCTTTTTCGAGCATTAAAATAATCAAGGTAAATAATAGAAAATAAGTAGGTAGAAGTAAACCTAAAATTATCAATAAATACAAGTAGACTGGACATACCAATCAAAAGACAAATATATCAGATTGGATTTTTTTTAAATTACAAGATACTCACCTAAAACATAAAGACACCAAAAGTTTAAAAGTATAGAGAACTCATGCACAAAAATCCCAGGTAGAGTTATATTAATATCAGACAATTTTGTAAGTAAAAACATTAAGGATTGAAGAAGGTTCTCACATAATATTAAGGGCACAATTCACCAGGAAGAAATAACAATTGCAACCTTTTACTTACCTTATGAACATGATCTAAAATGTACTTAAAGCAAAAAAAGTGACAGAACTACAAGGAGAAATAGGTAAATCTCCAAACATTTTCTCAGTGATTATGCAGACAAAAAAAATTAAGAAATATACAGATCTGGACAACATAATTAGCAAGGTTGATCTGATGAACATCATAGAGACACCTGAAGCTTGAGAGTACATAACCCTTTCAAGCACACAGGCATCAGTTACAAAAACTGACCACCTTCATTGGTCCCAAAGCAGGTTTCAACAAATTCCAAAGAATCAGTAGAATACAGACCACTATGCAAAAAAATGAGAGATCAGTAACTAAAAGGTAACTTAAATGCATATATATTTGGGAATTTAAAGTTGTGTTTTTAATTACCATAAGAGGAATAGCAGATATTTTTTAAGACTTACTCTCAAAGGAGAAATAATTCTGAAAACAGAAAATATTTAGAACTAAATGAAAATGAAAATACCATATTTCAAACCCTGTGGGGAGGAACTCAAGAAATCATTTAAAGGACGTTTTATAGCTGTAAATGCTTCTCATAGAAAAGTAGACTTAACATTAATGAGCTGAGCATCAGTCTTAAGAAGGTAGAAAAAGAGCAGAATAAATCCAAAACCTATAGAAGGAAAGAAGTAATAAAATTAGAGCAGTCAATGAAGTACAAAACAAACTTACAACAAAATCTCCTTTTTAAAGAAAACAACGCGATAGTAACCAGAAAGGCAAGGTAATGCACTGGTAGAAAGTGTGAGCTCCGGAGGTGATGGTCTGGTTTGAGTCCCCTCTGTGCCACTTCCCAGTGGCATGGCCTTGGGACGTGACTTGTGGCTCATAGGTGGAGTCAGAGCCTAAAGCCCAGACTACCGGCCAGACCCCAGTGCCCGTGCACTGATTGGTTATCCCCACAACAGGACTTCCAAGTTGTATACTCTGATGGGAGTAGCTTCCTCCCATAAAGAAACTGGGTATTACTGCCCCCATTGAACAGATGGAGGAAACTGAGGTTTGGAGAATTTATGTAAGTCTCCCTCAAGTCATGTAATATAAGGCATTGGAGCTGATTCAAGACCAGATCTTTCTGACTCCAGAGTCTGCCCTCCTAACCACCATGCTCATCTATAAGAGAAGAGGACTATCCCCATGGGCCATTCAGCAGAGCCCTGCTCTGGAAAGCTATTTCTTATATATACCCAACCTCAGGGACAATGTCTTCTGAAGGTAAAATGTAAAAGAGAAGGGGTAAAGGCATAGAAGTCCCTTGCTCAGGCATAGAAGTTCCTGCTCTTACTAATGGTAACCCAGCAGCTAAGATCATGGGCTTTGGAGTTAGAAATAATAAGAATGGTTGCTAATATTTATTAAATGCTACGTGCCCAGTATAATACGAAGCTTTTTCATCTTCGCAATCTCCCTTCCCACAGGTTCTGTTATTGTCCCCTAACACAGATTAAGAACCGCAGGTGCAGAAAAGTTAACGCCACGCAGCTATAAATTGGCAGAGGCAGGATGCCAACCCTGTCCACCTAACCCTGGAGCTTACGTTCTTATCCACACTGCACTCCTGGAGCCCAACTTCCTCATCCACTGATTAGGGGTGACAATAGCCACCCCCACCCCCTGAGCTGTGAAGAGGAACTGAGACAAGTAAGGAAAGCCACCGGCACAGTATCTGGCACGATGACAGTAATGGTGGTGACAGCCTATACTTGCAAAGACACCGGCCTAGAAGGATGTTACCAGTCCCGATTGCTCCAGAAAAACTAAGTGCATAAAATCCACAAAAAGAAGTCTTGCCTTCCAGTTCATCTCACAAATCTTCAAGAGGACAGATCATCTGTGCTCTGTGAAAGCTTATTTTCAAAATCAAAATCATAGCATTTCCCATTATAAAAAGACATAAAGGAAAGTATTTAAAAGAATCTGACAAATAAAACTGTAGAGAAGTGGGGGATGAAGGCTCACATCACCCAATACAGTAAGTCTAGCCTTCAACTTAATTTTCCAGAATTCTTGAAATATCAGTGATGGCAGCGTGAAAGACCAATTAATCACGTTGTTTGTTCTCTGTGTGTGAGTCACTGTTGCCATCTACAGTTAAAGATGGGGCATGCAGTGCTGCCAAATAGCTGATTCTAAGGGCAGTCCTAGAGATGGTGACTCAGCTCAGTGAGTCCAGAAAAGGAAAATGCTACCTGCAAGAGCAGCTCTTTCTCAACCACCTCTTCCGTCTTGCCGATGAGACGTTTCTGCAGGGTGTGAATCTTCTGTATCAGCTCAAAGGTGCTGGGGTCACTGGCCTGTTCAAAGGGAACAAAATAAAGCAGCTGAGATATCATCAGTTCCAAGCCCCAAAGTCTCTGTGTAAAATAATTATTGTCGTATTAAGATGTATTGTAAACCTGCAGACCCCATACAGAGAGAATTAAAGCCAAAAAAAGCATAACAGATTGCAATGGCCATCAAACAAGACTGAAATTTGGCTAATGTCTTATCTATTGGCTCTAGTTAGCCAATAAGTGGAAAACGAGTGCGTTTATTCCACCGGGGGGAACAAGGATAACACTAATAATAACAATAATGATAGCTACTGTGCATTATACCTTATTCTCTGCCACCATCCTGACACCATGCTAAGTGTTTTTCATACAATATCAAATTTTAGGCCCACGACAGTCCTAAGACAAAGTGTTGGTCTTCCCCTTTTACGGAGAAGGAAACTGAGGCTCAGAGGATTAAGTCGTCCACCCACACTGGTAAGGGTCAGAGCTGGATTCAAGCCCAGATATGCCTGGCTTTAAAGCCTGCCCTTTTTCATTACTATGCTCTGAGGCTTTTCCTCCTATGCCTTCTGTTTCCAAATGAATGAGACAGGCTTCCCTAATTTATTCAAACTCAGGATTCTCCTTTGGTAATTGCCAACAAGAAGATTCATTATAGCCTATGATGGGGAAGGTTTCTAGGATGTGGACTGGCAGCAAAACACGACCATGGCATTTAGCTCTCAAATGGGGTTATCAATCCGTAAAGCTTTGAGGCACCTTCAATAACTATCTGTACACAATTCAAACAAATGCTAGTTATAAATTGATAATCTGTCCTCTCGACATTGAGCCAAAGTTCTGCTTTCAACTGTACTGACATTTTGAATTAATCTAGCAGCTAAATATTTTCATTGCTTCCCCAATATTTTCTAATTTTTAAATAGAAATTGACACAGAATTGGAAACTTTAAAGATCTGCTTGAAAACACATGGAATAAACTAATGCGACAGTAAATGAATTTTAAGTCTTCAGCTCTACTTCCCCAGACACATCCATATTATTGTTAGTTTAGTAAATGACACCACTCTTGGCATTTAAGAGGAATAAATGAGGGGGGCGAGAAAACATTCCACTGACTTTGACTTTGCTTAAGAAATACTAAGCAGTGCCAACTGATACCCACATACTGGGACTAGATCTGGCATACATTCATCTGGCAAGACTGGACGCTGTTAAAATTCAGGCCTCATGTTTACATAACAATTTATAATGCATTATCCTTAATGCTTTCTTCATTAAAAGGAAAAAATAGAAATGAAAACCAAACACTGATTTGGCTGATGGCTCCTTCTTATGTCACATAACTTTATCCTCCCCAAACCCTAATTGTTGGTGTAGTCGAAGCCCCTCCTGGCACCCACATGGCTGGTCACAACTCTGAGAGATGGCTGTCTTTTCCTTGACTAGACAGGGCTTGTCTCTAACTGTTATCTGCAGGGCTGGTGGTAACATCCATCAGGAAGTCATAAAATAAAATATGAGAGCTGTTATCCATCACCTACCAGTGAGACGTTGGCTGTGTCCCCAGATCCTAAGAGAAAGGGTTTGGCTAACACAATGCTAGTAGTCCTTCGAAAAAACAGCTAGTTGACAAGAGCCTTGTTTCCTGAGCCAAAGTGAAGAATGCAGAGACCAGCTGAAAGGAGCTATAGATGCCAGTGGCCAATGTGGCTGAAGGCAATCAACAATCCGAGACAGGCAGCGTTAGGATAACTGGTTGACCAAAAACTACCTAACAGGAAAAATGTCCATTGGTGAGGCCAGCTCACAACTCACCCTGGGTCTTCTTTAAACAGAAGGGATTTTGTCCAAGACTTTTTAAACAAAACCCAAGTAAACCATCTGGTTTTGGAACAACCCAATTTACATTTGATCCAGACTTACATTTTAGGTGACAATTTGCATAGCATTAAATAAAACCGAGCTTTTTCCTGTGCTTTAGGTAGGAGATCGTGCAGGGTAGGAGAAGAGATCTGCGGAGGAGAGCAAGGCTCTGCCAGGTGTTACCTCAAGCTTCCTCCATCTGTGCACATTCATGGGGTTCTCCAACTCCTCCTCCAGGGCTCGACATCGTGTCCTCTCCTTCAAGAATTCTCTTTGCATGTGGAAAAGCTCCTGCCTGAATAAGACAAACTTTCCTTTGCTAAGAAATTCTCCACCCATTTGAAAATCATGTCTTTATGTGGTTATGGACCCACTACATCTTACATAAAAAGTTGGCATTAGGGAGACTTCTGTGAACACAGACCAGCCTCCAACCTGGGCCAGACACAGATGTTATGAATCCTTGCAGAGCGCCAACTTCAGCGTTAGCTTTAATAAAAGTACCAGAGCTTCAGAATCATGATTCTGAACACCCAAGGAGTTGACAAGTATATGGAAAGAACAGGGAGGAAGTGAATTATGAGAATTTCAATATACTCTTCGATGCTTCTAAATATCTCTATCTAAAGAACAATCTACCTTTTATGTTCCACCACAAAATATGGCACCTGACTGTAGGACTGTAGGACACCGAGGCCCCGGTGGTAACCTGACACCAGTTAGGGCAGTGCATTTCACCCTGACTGTGCATTGCAGTCACCTGGGGAGCTGGCAACCCACTTTGCCTGGACCAATCCCCGCAGGGATTCCGCCTTAATTGGTCAAGCATGTTACTTGGGTTTCATCGGTTGTAAAGTCCTCCTGGTAATTCTAACATGCAGCCAGGATGGAGAAAGCCCCAGTTAAAAGTGATATTTTATTTGATGTTCCACAACTAACTACCCGGATGGCTGCAAAAGCCCTGAAGACCTAGTTCTGGCTCCAACCTACTACTCCAGTCTGCAGGATTGCAGTTAACTAGTTAACTATCTACTTAACGGGCACTGCCCTACAGCCATTCACAGGACCCTGGGAGCGGGCTGCCACCCTATGGAACAAGGCGCTTTGTTGGGGGGTGGAGAAGAGGCAAACGCTCACATTGACATGGGCAAGATATTATTATCTGTCCTCGTCTGCTGTGGGTGTGCAGATTACTAATACCAAGCCATCTCTTTTACTTAATTGCTTCATTTAAACCAATAATACAACTTCCCCTCATTAGCAAGACAAACCATTAGAATTAACTGCATGATGTTCACTCAACAGGGAGCTCAGCACAAGCTGCTTAGAATTAAAAGCATATTTTTAACACTTGGATTTTCTAGAGTGTTGTCAGAAGAGGAGGGCGGGAGGGAGTATTAGCCCCTGTTATTGACAGTTTATTTTGTTCTGGACTCTGTGCTAGGCATATTGTGTTTGTTTTCGTGTTTAACTACAAGTCTAAGGCTCAGAGAAGTTAAGTGATTTGCCCAAGGTCACACAGTGTGTGGATGCCAAGGCAGAGATTGGAATTCATGCCAGCTTGCCTCCAATATCTTTAGTAAGTTGTCTTCCCATTGAAGAGAAAGATAAAATCTATTATCCACAAACCAGCGATACTGACTAGGAATGGGTAGAATTTCGCCTTTTGTGTCTATAATAAAAATAACTCATGGCTGGCAAGTTTAGTGATGATCTTCAAGATCATTCAATAGCCACTTAGAATGAATCTATTTGTCTTTGAAATGTCAGTGGTGGTATCTCTGGATACTAAACTTATGTGTGACTTTTTTAATCCCTTATTTATATTTTTTCTGCATTCTCCACATTTTCTACAGTGAGTTTGTACTACTTTCATCATCTGAAATACAAGCGACTCTAAAAAAAATAAGTATTGATCCATCCTTGATAGTGGCAACTTCCCTTGATATTCCTGAATATATTCACTACATCTAAATATCAAAACTATCCTCTAATTCAATTCATTTAAGAAGCAGATGCAGACCGTGTCCTTGTCCCAAGGTGGTCAAGGATACTGTTCATCTACAAGTCCGCGGGGAATAAGGACAGCTACGGAGACAACACCAGGCCGGTTATTTGGTTTCCTGCAATTGCCTATATAAAACATGGTGATGTTTTCCCAAAGGGGAAGTAGATCTTGTATAATGCAAGATTTAAAGCCAGAAGAAGGCCCACTAAGCTAAAGTGAAAGCTGCAGAAGATAAATCAAGAGTGAGATATAAAATTTGGCCGCCTTCTAAGGAAACAGAGTTTTCAAAATAGTGATAAAATTAAATTTTTTCCCTTCTTTTCATTCTGTATATAATTCCAAGAAAAAGATGTGCAAATGTTACCAGGATTAAATTTAAATATTGCTGCTCGATCACTTGCAGCATTGCTACCTTCTTAAATTCTAAAAAGCTCATTGGGGGAGATGGTTTTCTGAATTGTAACTAGGTTGTGTCTGTGATTTGTCTTGAAATTTCTGTTTTGAAAGCCAGAATAAGTTTCTAAAAAATCTTTCTGCACTCACTTATATTCCCTTGAGAGGAAACTAATTCACTTTTTTGGTGACATAGAATAGGCACAATGTAGATTCTGAATTATGGAAAATTGTTCTCATTATTTGCTCATAATTCCATCATATAAAAATTAATTTATACAACTTGATAAAGAACTTCCACAACCAACAAGCAATGAACATAAGGTCATTTCAGGAGCTCCCCGCAGACCGCGGGGCCCTCACATCTGAAGGGGCTCCTATTACCTCAGTTCATCGACATTAGCCACACTCCTGGCAAGAATCCCCTTTTCTCTGCGAAGTTTCTTAATCTCAAGTTTGAGAATTCTCATGTCCTCCATCCTCTGGTTGTACTGGATCTCGCCTTTATTCAGCACAGACTGTTGGATCTTGATCTTCTCGTAGAGCAAAGCCAACTCATCATTGCGCCGGACAAGCTGAGACCCGAGGATATCTCTCTCGCTGATGACCTAGAAAGATAGGGAAAGGCATGGCCATCTGGGAAACAGAAAGTCTCATTTTCATTATGGCAGCCTCTTTCATCCTGTCAAAGATCTCTCAAATGTCCATGTGTACTAGGCATCCAGTGGGCAGGGCACTAGAAAGATCCTACTAGACAGTCAACACAGCTCCTCCCATGTGTTTGCAGTCCCATCAGAAAGAGAAAGAGTACAACAAATCATCCATCATCATCATCATCATCATCCTATACTTCTTTGCCTGTGGGTGTTTGATTTTTTCCCAACCCATTATTTTATAAATGTTAAATTTTGAATGACTTTATGGTAGGCTAGCTCTTGCCAGTTTCCACCACTCCTTACTGTCTCACACTGGCCAATTTCTCTTTTTTTCAACTTGCCAGATCTCTGAAAGCATTTAAGTTTCTAACTCCCTAATTATGCATTTGAGTTTCTAACTCCAGAATTATGTAATTATTCATCGCAATTACATGTGAGCAATTATATTATACTAGAATGTAAGCTCCCTGAGAACAGGGGCCTTATTTTCCCATTGGCCAGGGTAGCCCCAGTACCTAGAGGATAGTGAGTGCTTATACATATGACTTGAATAATGAATGAATATTTCATAAGTAATCAACAGAAGATGGGCTTCTACTGCTGTTCTTCCAATAGATTGAATGCAAGAGCTTAGAGAAGAAGGAGGATTCGTGAAAAGTTGAATCAAACAGTTGTGTCTGCGGATGAGGTCTGCAGGTCTGGTGAGGAGATGTTCCTACCTGGTCTAATTCCTTCTTCTGTCTCAGCCTCTCCCCATCAGCCTCAGCAATGATTCGCAGGAGTTTTCTCTCTTCCACTTCCTGCTTTTCAATGAAGTGTTTGGTCTCCAGAGCTTGTTGTCTTAGCTTCTGCAGCTCGGCCTGACAAAGAATGAAAGACACAGAGAGATTTCACTCTGTGGCAGTACAAACCTGGACTGCAGGGCCCAGATTTAGATGCACAGTTGTTCTTCTTACACTTTCCTCTGATGTTTCGTTTAACATGGTTTGATCAAGCAAAACAAGCTTCTCACACACACACACGCACACGCATAGGCCTGTAAAGAAACAGCAGTGCACATTACGGTGGTCATGTTTATTCTATGAGTTGTGCCCTTGTGGGATTTCCATCATTTTTCTATGTACATGTAGCAGAGGCTTCATTGGTATTCAGTAGCTCTTCTCTTACCAGCTAAACAAGGTGAGAATTCACAAAGAATAGTGCAGAGGAGGATGTAGGGGTGAGGACGGGGGAGGGCCTTTGTATGCACCAGCTCCTGTAATGGTCCTAATACCACCAGCACATCAGCTACAAAGATAAAGCCTGTTGCAAGCAAAAATTAAATTAACAAAGATAACAACCGAGTGTCTATCTTACAAAATGTCTCGATGGAACAGAAGAGATGTCGTGGTATAAAAAGATATATAGATCCTATTCCTCAGATGCTTCCACTCTAGATGAGAAGATAAGATATACAAGTATTATGTGACTATTAACAAGGCCAGACAGTGATTTTTCAGTATCTTTATTAGCACACGGACAGGGAATTGATGTTACAGGAGGTCAGAGGACTTTGGCTGTCAGGGAAGCTTCCTGGGAGAGCTCAGATCTTGAGGCTCTTGAGGTTACATGGAAATTGTAAAGACAGGGTGCCAAGGACTGGTCAGTTTCAGAAGGAAAATACCTCTCATCGAAGGACACATTCCCTCCAATTCCACAAGTATGTTTGTGACCTACAGTATCTCAGGCATGATACGAGGACTTTTGCAGAGCTACTCTCATCCCTGTTTTACAAATTCAATGTGTAGGAGACAAGGAACAGCAAATTCGTTTGCCCAAGGTCACACAGCTAGTAAGGAACAGACTTTAGATGGCAACCCAGATCTTTTGATTCCAAAGCCTGTGCCCCCGCTGTTGTTACCACCCAATTGTTCCAGGTGAAATACAAAAAAAGTAAGACTTGAAAGACTCATCGTCCACTAGAAATGACAAATATAACCAACCACATCACAGTGTGGACATGCTATCTACTGTGGGAAAAAGGCCAAGGGAGTACCCAGGGATGCGTTTCTAATTCCTGCCTGCCTGAGGGTTAGAGGGAAGAACCAGCGAGAGCCTTGGCAACTGACAGATATTTCCTAAGAGCAGAGGCTCGTGTTGGGGTAAGGCATGAGACAGTCAAGCGTGCAAACCGTGAAGTATGTGCACCACATAGCCTAGCATCCAGTGTGGCTGGATTCTTAGAGTGTGGGCTAGGGAATAGCAGGAGCTAAAACTGAGCCAGACTGGGAAAGGTTTATGTGCCACACACTGTACAGAGTATGCAATGAGGAGCCTTAGAGGTATTCACATTAAAGGAAAGAAGAGCGTGTCTTTGAGAGGTTCCATGCCCACATGGGAAGGACAGGTTTTTATCACAGACCAGGTCAGCAGAAAAAGAAACAAATGAGAGGAGAGCTCTGATTTCACCCACACCTGGAAACACAAGGGAGATGACAAGATGGTATTAAGGCTCCAACTTTTTCAATGGCTTGCAGGTTAGCAAGTGACAGTAAAAAAGTAATACATGTTTCCTTCAAGGAAGTATTGGGACCCCCCACCCACCCACCCAGAAAGTTGACCGGGATGATAGAAAACCTCATATTTGCAAGTGCCTGTGACCCAACCCAACTTGAGTTGGGTTGGACTCATGAAGACCAAGAGCCATTAATTCCATACCTCAAGTTTATCCAAACAGTAGAAGATACTGCACACCTAGTAATAGACGTGTACTGCCACAGACTAAATGCATCTGGCTACTGTGAAACCAAAGGGTTCTTTAATGACATTTGGTTAGTTCACTCATGAAATATGTTTTGGTTTAGGGATAAGCAAAAGGAAAGACTTAGTGAGAAAAGATCTGGTCTAGTATTTACCACTTTGGGGGACTGCCGGTTCAGAAAGAGAGCAAAGAACCAGCCTTTCTATTTCTATCATCAGTTAAGGTGACAGTGAAGACAGCCATAAAATACCTGTGTGGTTCACATTTTCTTTAATAAAACTTTTATTTTCCCAGATGTGCAACATTCACTTCCTTGTTCCTAAGTGCCAAGTGCTGATCAGAATCCATCAGCAGAACAAAATGAAACCCCTGTTATATTAAAATGCAATCAACGGTGTGTAAAAGTATCTGTCTGAAATGTAAAACCATTCATGCGTTTGGCATTGCTGCGTGTATGTGGATTTTTCATAATATATCAAAATTCTGAGTGGTCTCCTTATGTCATAAATTTATGGGCTGTAAACAAGATGTTTAGACATCTTAGGCATTAGACTATGGCAGCAAATGTTAACATCAACAAAATACCTTGAGTCTAATGCATTTAACAGCTATAAATCTGAGCTGTCTCACCCAGGAGAGATGGTAACTCCTGTGCTCCCAAAAGCCCACCAAGCAATGTTCTAGGTGGGACCTGAGGTATCCTTATCTCTCAAAGCGTTACCGGTGGTATGAAGTTGTAATACACTCACAGGACACACACTTTAGTCACTGCCTCCACAATTAGTTTTGTGATAGGTGTTACAGAATATATATCATCCAATTTGGCTGCAGGTATACATCCTATCTCAAGAACCATACGCGCAGGTGTTTAACCCATTCGTACATGATCCCGACATTCACTGGGTGTCACAGAAACCATCTGTTTACATCTAAGACGAATAGGACCACTTAAAGTTTTCCAGCCATGAGAATAAATGGGCTTTCCTTCTCTCTCTGTGGCAGCTCCCATCCAGGTCATCCCAGTAAAAGGATAAGGTGCCCTGAAGCCAGTCGCTAATGTGATGCTGGGCTCTGGACAGAGAGAATCTGCTGCTGAATTATTCACCAGGAATCAAAGTGCTGTCACAATGATGTGGGATGATTTGGAGGTGATGAGGCAGAATTAGGGGCTTGTTAGGACATTCCAAATGAGACAGCTCCGTCAGCACTGATGAAACAAGACTGGGACAGAATGGGCCGATGAATGTACATGCTGCAATAGCTAAGAGGACTATTGACATTCTGTCATAACCATAATGTGCTGACGATGTCTAGAATACTGAGAAGTCAATAGGGCCCGGTAGCAACTGAGAAAGGAAAAGAAACATGGAAGGAGCAAGACATTTCTTTTGAGGGGGATGAATGAGGATGATCTATTATGGACAACTGTTCGTCATCTTGGAGAAGTAGTAAATTGGGTTGTCCTGTCAAAAGGTGTCCCATGGTCTACCACACAGGAGGAGACTTGCCCTTCCAGGAGGGATTATGTGCCCACAGAGCTCTGTAGAACACAACAATAATAAGCTAAATGTCTCTTGGAGCATGGTTACTAGAAAATCTGCCCTTCCCTCCAGGGTTTTGGTTTGCAAACTTCAGATGCATGAAACCCAGAGACCTGTGTGAATCATGATTCAAATATGAGGCTAAAAAAGCCAAGAGGCTGAAACTCAACATTTGAGCTGTCCTATTTTTCTAAAGAATGTCAAACAGGCTTCATGATAGGCCAAAATTATCCAGTCGAAGCACCATTGCAAGTCACCCTTGGATAACTTCAAATAATAAATCAAGCAGGCATCCTTTTTCTGTTCCTCATTCTTCCCTCAATGGAAAATGCTGGGGGGAAAAAGTCATCCTGGTTTCACAATAAGTCCAAAGCAATCATCTTTCTATAGTCAATGGCCCCAAGCTCTCCAGACCTAGGATTCCCCACTTAGAGCAGACTCTCTAGGGCAGAAGCCCTTTATACTGATCTTCCATGTTCACCCGCTACCAGCTCTGCTGGTCCAGGACCAAAAACAGAGCCCTTAGGCCTTTATATCCTTTTATTATGATGCTTCTTTGGAGCTATATATGTATGATGATGGAAGGCATAATTGAAATAAATATTAACCAAAGTCAAACTCTAGGAAATTAGGAATAATTGATCTTTTGCCTAGGACATTGCTTTTCCTAAAGCAGAATTTTGTAGAAGGCAGTTAGTTCCACCTTGGACCCCATTATGGGGTAATAATCTTTTGAAAAGAACACTAGTTGGAAAAGTAAGAGATGAGGATCGATGTCATCCTATAAAAAGAAAGAGATGATGTACCAAATAGAGTTACACTGAAGCCTTGTTAACATGGGTCCATGAGGCCCATGGTGAAGCAATGTTTATAATAAGATTCTTCTGATTCACTCAATGATAAATAAAACCATCCCACTACAGGCTCCAGGGTAGAACAAGCTACCATCTACAAAATTATTCTTTCGAACAAGGAAAACAGGGGCAAAGATGCAGGATATTTTCCAATTTAAAAAAAATATATTTATATTTCTTTATATGGAAATGAATTTTAATGCAGAGTTTTTTATTCCTTTTTTATCACAAGCTAGAATGGGGAGATGAAAGTCTCAGGTAAATATCAATTATCATATCCTTTCTGTAAAGGCACTTTTGTTATATTTTAATCTTTCTCAAACCAAATGTGCCTTGATTTCATGCAGTAGTTTTATTTCCATGAAGACCTATCATTAAGTTGACAAAACCTATCATGAAATTGAGAGTGCATATTTCAATCTATGGCACCTTGGAATCAAGGAAATTTGGCATTGAAGCTGTCCAACACCAGCTACACATTTTCAAGATAGAAACTATCTTTGAAAACTACTATGTGCAGAAACCAAGACACCCCGTCTCTCATTTGCTATAGAGTTCCTCCATGTGGCTCATAAACATCCATGAGTATTCTGCATATACATTTTCAAAATGAAAGTGATACTTTCATACTCTTAGTTCCTTTTTAATTCCTTGGTCAAATGGATTAGAAGGGAAATCTATTGGATTGGGTAGGAAAAGAAAAATACATTAGGTTTAGTGAATGTGCATAATATATTTTGTTTGAGGATTTGAAATGGTATAATTATTTGGTATGTATTCTTGGAAAAAGTCTTTATATTATATTAGTAGACATATGATGTTCCAAGTTAGTAGATTTAAAAGGATATGTCTTAGTAATATATGAAGACAGAGGTGATTCCCTGGAGGAGTGGCTAAGGATAGTGCAGGCAGAAAAGTCAGGTGCACATAAAGCAAACACCTATCAGGAGAAGAGAGACAAAAGGTCTTGCCAGCACCACCTTATGGAAGGCCCAGGGAGGAGTGTAGGAGGGTTGGGTGTGGGTGTTGGACTCAGGTTGTAAATGCAAAGGGACTGTGGCAAGCCTGCAAGCCCCAGGACTTCTTGGTCACTACTGACCTGCTAGATTCTCTTCTGCTGATGTGATGACAGCAGTTGGTGAACTAGGTGCTTATGCATCTCTACTGGCCTCCTCCCCCCTTCTACCTGGGAGCCCTGCCCAAAAGGAAGTCTGACCTGACCTGGAGGGGTTAGAGCTCATCCTCCTGGTTCCTCGGTTGTTCTCCCTGCCCCTTGTTCCTTCAGTGAGCATGGAGCCTGCCTCAAGGGGGGCAAACAGATTACTGCTCCATTGCTTTTATTATAAGTTCCGTACCTTCAAAGTTTCCTTCTCCTTCTCTATCCGCTGCTGTTCCAGATGTAGCTTCACAAGTGCTGACTCTTTGGCTGAGATTTCTTCTTTCAGCTGATCTACCTGATGGGTCATAATCTTTAATTTTCTCTTCATTTCTGTTATTTCATCCTAATAAAATGAAAGGAGAAATGTTTGAAAGCGAATTAAATAGACATCATCATCTGTATAGGAGTTCAATACATATTCAAGAGCTTTTAAGGGAGGTTCTCTCAGAACAATGGTCTCCTGAACAATTACCACTGGGCTATTCCTTTGGCTCTTGTGCCCATCAACCTCCAAATACTTTATAGCCTTAACTCTCAAAATATTCTCATGAGATATACACAAACTATGCATAATGACTATGCCACACACACACAACACACACAACACACATACAACAAATACAACACACATACAAAACACACAACGCATACATACAACACACAACACGTGCAACACATGTGACACGCATAACAGCACACAGAGCACATGTACAACATACACGACATATACATACAACACATACGACACACAACACATACACAACAAACACACGCAACAAACACACACAAGACACACACAACAAACACACATATACAACACACCCGCTTTATTCCTCGTTTTACAAGGGAGGAATTGGCCCCACAACAAACATTATAACTAAAAGATCACAAAGGAAAGATCTGCATGCTGCTCCCCTCTGAGTCATGGTAGCTATTAGCAGTTTTAAAAATTAGAAACAGGAGAATGGCAATTCTACATAATAATTAAAAGCAGGACCCTGATCTTCACATTCCACCAAGTTGTGTCATTTCCACTTCAAACAACCTGATAGTTCAGCACAAATCCCCACTGATCTTCTCTTTCAGGTGAATTCCATGAGATTTCTTGTTTGCCCTGTTCTAAATTCTGCCATTAGGAACACAGAAACTGCTTTAAACCCAGAAGTGGGGAGGAGTCAAAACGTAAAAACAAAAGTATATTCTTTACCTGAGCCTCAACCAGATTTTTGCTATACAGATTCCTGTCTGACCTCACAGCTTCATACAGGTTCTGTTGCTGTTTTAATTTAGTCTCTGATTCAGCAATTTTTTTCCTGTAGTCAAAAATCTGCATTTCACGGATTTTTATGTCTTCCATGTTCATGAGGACCTGGAGAAGAAAGAAGTTTACAAAATGGTTAAAGAGCCAATCTGTGGTTATCAGTTCAGGACAAACAGAGATTCTGATATAAGGGTAGCTGGTAGAAATGTTCACAATCAGAAAATCTCACTGTGGCTATAATCGCTGCAGGACAACAAAGAAATTCAGCCCAGCTAATTAGAGGCAAACATACATTTTATTTATGCTAGAGTTCTGCTCAAGCATGACAGCTTAGCAGTTATTTTGTGAGCACAAGAGGAAAAAAAAAGTAAAGAAATTCCTTCAATTCTGAAAACCTCTCCTGAACACCCACCCACCAAAAGACAAAATGCAAAGGCACAAGTTTAAACAGACCTTCACATGGAGCACTAAGAAAGATAAGAAATAACTTAGCTGTTTGGCCACACTCACAGCTTTGGAAGTTTAACCACGATAAAGAAAAGTGGCCTTTGGACATCGATAGCAATCAAAACACTGTCTTGCCAATGTCCAACTCACTCCATCAGGGAAACTCAAAGGACTTCATAAAAATGCCTTCTTTTGTGTACAAAACACTTCTAGGCAAGATGAGATGTGAGGATAACTGCCTGTTTTTAGCAAGTATGAAAAACCGAGGCACAGAATTCCACCATGAGCCGATACTTCTCAACAAGCAATCCATCCCTCTGAAATTACATAATCATGACTCTCAGCTGCAGTGTCCACAGCAATTGATATTTTTAAGGACAAACGGACTTGAAAATTCCTTAAAAAGAAAAACTTTTGCAAGGAAGACTGATGGAATCAATGGAATTATCGTCTGGACAAAAGCTAGAACACATAAGGAGAAAATTCTTCAGAGTTTTGCTGCATCGCAATGGCATTCTCTTAATTAATGGTTTACAGCTGAAGGAGATAAACAGAGCAACGTGACAGAGAATAGAAGGCCAGGCACGTCCTTGCGGTAACATGGCCAGGGAAGGTTCCTCTGAAGAAGACGCATTGTATCTAGAACCGAACAGTCACAAAGTACTTAGACCTTTGCTGTGCTCCTATTCATTGTGACTCAAGTGTGGGCTACCTGTGAGCAGCATGTTCCCAAATCCCTGCACTACAGAATCCTTTTTTTCCACCTGTGGAATTAATATCCCAGAAAATACGCTCCAAGAAACCTTGTTCTTAAGTTTCCCCATCAGAGGTAATGATGGCTGGTGTTTAATATATTCATCCTTTATATCTTTAAATAAACACCTTTCAAAGTTTTCTCAGACACATATAAGGAGGGATGAGATTAAATGTTAGTAAATGCCTTTCCAGCATATATTATTTTGTACCACTTTTTCTATTCTTATTGGGTCTATTGATTTGATATACTTACTAATAAATGTTTCCCTTTAGAAGTATTTTAATTTTATTTCTTTATACATATCCCCATGTGCCATAATTTTAAATAAATGCATCAGTGTGAAATATTTTTTTCTTTTTATTTATTTGGACCTTCCTTCTCTCTTCTACCCATATTAGTCCCTCACCGACACATAAAACAGGTTAACAATTTAGTATGTGTTCATCCACATTTTCCTTTGAATTCTACATATTCTATTCAGGTCTTCTAGCATAGTAACAGCTAATATTTCTCAGACACATTCTATGTACCAGACTTTCTATATGTATTAACTCATTTACTCTTCACAAAAAACCTCTGAGATGTGCATCATTATCACCCTAATTTTACAAAGAAGGAAATTTCAGTCAAAGAAAGTAATATCATCCACAGCTACTCAAAGTAAACATAGAGACATGGGGATTTGTTTGTCTTCCTTTGTCTTGTTTTTTAGGTTTTGTTTTTATTTTTTAGCAAAGTGTGATCTTCTTATAGATGTTTGTATGCACCTTGCTTTTTAATCACTCAATAATACTTTGGATTCATGTGGAGTAGCTCTAATTCGCTCTGTTGAAAGATGGTTTAACACTCCACAGTGTGGCTGAGCCATCATAGACTCAGCTCTTCACCTCTGATGGGCATTAGCTTGGTTTCCACTTTTTCGCCACTCTGAACCCTGCTGCACTAAACATTTTGGTACATGTGTCCTTATGCACTTGTGCATTCACTTCTGTTGGGATGGATTCCCAGGAGTGGAATATCTGGCTCAAAAGACATATATATTTTCAACTTTAATAGATATTGCTAGATTGCTTTCCAAAATGGCTGTAACACTTCACATTTCCATAGCACCAGCAATAGGTTTCTTAATAGAAAACTATCCTTGCCGTTTCAGGATAAACCCTCTTTGGTCATACTGGATGATTCTTTTAATGTACTGTTGAATTTGGTTTGCTAGAATTTCAATTAGGGTTCTGCATACATATTCACAAGTGATCGAAGTCTATAACTTTCTTTCCCGTTCTATTTTAATATCAAGGTTTCTGCTAGTTTCATAAAGTGAACAGAGTACCTTTCTGTCCACCCATTCAATCACTCATGTCAGACCCAAGCTCTCTCCCAGGCCTGGAGTCTTTACTAATTATCCCTGCAGAAGGCATAGATTATATATATCAGCGCAGGAATGCCAATCGGTATTACCCCAAAAAATCAAAGTGCATGAGCAGCACTTTTTCTGAAGTTATATAGCCTGAGAATTATTTGATTCTCAAAAGTTTGAAGAAACTCAGTACTAAAGTTATTGGGCCCTCTGTGAGCGTTGAAGCGAATTCTCTCTCAGCTTCTTTAGTGGTTTCCCTAGTTACTGATCTTCCTATGATTACTACTTCTCTGTAAGTCAAACCTTGATGTATGTACATATTTTCGAGAGAATTACCTATTCAGCCAATTTTTTAAATTTATGCCACTAGATTTGTACAAAGTATTTTTACATGCTTTTACTGTTTTATTGTTATTAAATGAGATCATCCACTTTGTGTGGAAAGAGAGTGGCCCAAAGTAAGAATAAATACAGACTGTGGGAATGGTTTGGATGATTGGTTGAGGGCCTAGAAAGAACAACATTAGAAAATCTGAGACAAGGAGGTCTGAAGAAAAGGTAAGTGCATAGGTCTGAAATGAAAAGAAACCCCTTTCCTTTTCCCATCATTTCTTTGATCCATATCTGTAGAATCCTTAAAAATGAGTAGCAGGCACTCTTTTAAGGTACCACCACCAGTAACTAAAATGTATAAGTTAGAAATAAATGTAAAACCTAAATAAGATACCCATTACTAGATCTGTTATTTGTTTTATTTAAAAAAAAAAAAAAGGAAAGGCACTATCTTAGACTAAAATTTAGCCTTTCTATGGACATGATCATCCTCTTTGGGGTCAGTGAAATGAATGGATTGAAAATACTTTGAACAGCATCATCAGCATTCAGAATATCAAGCAGCACATCAGAGAAAAGGAAAAATTGCTTGTTCAATCACTTCGAGAGATGTTATAATAAGAATCATCCTTTGCACAGACAGAATAATGCTCCAGAGAAAGGATGCTGCCAAGGGCATTTCTGTTGGAAGCATCCAACTAGCAGGGTCCATCTTTCTGCACACAACAGCGCAGGAAATCACAGGGCACTTGCTTCTGGATTCTTGAAGCTGGGAGCAATAACGACTCATCATGATACCAAGAAGATCAAAGGTATTTTAGTTAAATGACAATGAAAAAAAAATATTGAAACTAAGGGAAAAGACAATTTACAAAGCAATTTAGTTCTAAGTGTCAGAACTCAATTTGTTTCGATGGAAATCATTCAAACCAATGTCAAATCCTGAAAATTCATAAAATGTGTGGGGTGTGAACTGGGAGCAAAACCTTTAGTCAGCAGAATGGCCCCTGTTGAAAATGGCATCTCAGAGAACGTGGGATGCCAGCTGTGGGGCTGGAGCTTAATTAATTGATTACACTTTAGATACCTCAAACCAACTCACACCCAAATATGAAAACTTTGTTACAGCCAGAGACTTGGAGATCCCAGCCTTTGGAAGCCCACTTCAGACTAGCCCAGAAAATGCTTACAGTGCAGTCTAAGGGTACAGTCCCATTTTATAACCTACTAGCTTTTCTTTTTCTGTTAAAACAATGTGCCAATAGAAGTAAGAGTGAGATAAAAATCAATAATGCATGCTGGAAATCTGCAGCATAGTCAAAACATCACACAGACTAAGGTAGGATAAGAAAGTAGGTCACCGCATTTGGAGCCCTTTAACTTACATTTGATGAAATATCAGTATAATAAACTCCTCCAATAAGTTTATCTGACTCAATGTCAATGGTTTGAATGCTGACAATGCCTTTACCTACATAATGAAACTGAAAAACTCACTCTCTGGAAAAAAACAAAACAAAACAAAACAAAAAAACCTATGTGGCCGGGCACATGAGATTTTAAGTCTTCTCTATTTTTCTTGCTTTCTTATTTTATTCTCTACCTTAAATTTAGAGAGGCATATCTGTGTTTCTGGGGTGTTTTTTAAGATTTTATTTTTTTAAGTAAGCTCTCCACCCAACATGGAGCTCAAATTCACGACTCCGAGATCAAGAGTCACATGCTCTACTGACCGAGCCAGCCAGGCGCCTCTATGTTTCTGTTCTTAATAACTTATTACATTGGGGCTCCCTGCTCAGTGGGGAGCCTCCTTCTCCCTCTCCCTCTGCCTGCCGCTCCCCCTGCTTATGCAATCACTGTCTCACGCTCTGTCAAAAATAAATAAAATCTTTTAAAAAATAATAAATAACATGTTACATTATATTATAAAATGAAGGATATAATCATATCTACCTCAGAGGGCTATTATGAGGATTTAAGCGAGAAAATACATGTATTTGTACCATCATATTAGTACCTAGCAGATCATAATTTAATCATTTAATAAATAATAGATTATCATAATAGGTTAATAGTCTGTCATGTTAAATAATACTAGTACTTAAAAATAAATTTGATTTTTCTATGGATCAAATTCTGTTTTGCAGGAAAATAGTAATACCTAGTACACTAATTTTATAACAACACAAAAAGCTTATAATTTGTCCAAGAAAGATGCTCTGTATAACCAAAGAAACAGGAGTTTCATTTCATCATGAAGTACCTATTCAGTCAACAATATTTCTTTGATCAACTTTTGTTTTCCTCACTCACTTGTAAGCCCTTGAAAACACATTATTATTCCTTTTATGGAAGCTTTGTCTAGGAGAGTTTTGCTTGACACTGTTATAAGCAAAGAAGCAGAGAGCTAAGGAACATGGAGGTAAGGATTCATTATGAAAGAATGTTTTTGACATTTATAAAATGTCTGGAAAGGCAAAGGCCAAAAGTTTAATATTTAGAATGAGAAAGGAGGGGTTCTAAAATAAGCCAAGTGCATAATGTGCAACATGTGCCACAGATTTAATGATTAACCAGGAATGGTTTTAACCGGAATCTACAAAAGTTGAGTAAATATGGTGGACCGCAACTTATAATGCCATTCCTGATGCCTCTCAATTTAAGTAAAAGTTAGAGCCCAGCAGAGGAGGAAAGTATGAGGATAAAAAGTGCTGAATCACTCTACTAGATTATCTTATGGTTCTGCAAATATTCACTCCCTCTCCCTGTCCCTACCACTTCCATGGGAAGAGTCTTCCCCTTGCTATTGGGCATGGACATGTGACTTGCCACTGCCAATGGGATGTCAGAAGAGAGAGCTAGGAAATGTGCTTGTGTGGTTGCTTTCCTTTCTTTCTCCATGAGAACACCATGCATCCTGGAGGATCAGAAACATGTAGAGCAAAACCAGACCCAACTCACAGCCTCCAGCCAAGTGCAGGCAAGCCTAACCTAGACCACCTGAGTCCCACTCAACTGCAGATGTGTGAGAGGTAAGTGCTGGGGCGCCTGGGTGGCTCAGTTGGTTAAGCGTCTGCCCTCGGCTCAGGTCGTGATCTTGGGGTCCTGGGATCGAGCCCCAGAGTCTCTTTCTCCCTTTTTCTCTCCCTCTCCCCCTCCTCACCATTTGCACTCTCTCTTGCACTTTCTCTCATATAAATAAGTAAAATCTTTAAAAAAAAAAAAAAACAAGTGCTTATTTCTGCATGCCAGTGACATTTGGTGGTTGTGTATTATGCAGCATTAGTATGGCAAGTGTTGACTGAGACAAGCACATAAAAGCCATCCAATTCTGGCACAGAAAAGGATCTTTCTCATTTGCAAATGCCAAGTTAAATTAATAAAATGTAATGTAGGGCTTTCAGTATCTAAGATTTCACCTTTCTTTCTCAGGAAGAACCAGAAGGCAAATGTTGACACTGTTTTTGCAGCCCAGAAGGCAGAAGAGACCACGCCGTAAGTCACTCACAGCTAAACTTACTGAGGATAATTCCGATAAGATTGTCCATTATGGCAACATGTTTCAGATGAATTTAAAATGGGGGAAGACCCATAATGACGAATACATTAACGAAGAAGAATTTAACATAAATACCTAAAAGTATGTCTTTGAGTGGTTAATTCAGATCTCTAATTACACTTTCCATTCATTCTTTCAAGAAATATTTGGTACCTATTTAGGAAATAATATGAGGAGCTCAAAATCGAATACCAATCCTTCTATGCACAGCAATAAAACTAGGGCAAACCATGTAAGTAATTTTGTATTCTGTTTTTATCAGATTCATATTGTGAACATGTATCCCATTTTAAAAAATATTTTTCAAACACGTGGTTTTAATGCTACATAACATTGTATCAGATAAGTGTAGCACAATTTATTTTAAAGAATATCCTTTTATAAAACTCTTTGCATTTCTTATTTTTCCATAGATTGAGTTCTTACAAAAGAAATTGCTCGGTTAAAACTTGGAACAAAGTATTCTCACTCCAGAAGTTGATGAAAACATCAGTTTCGTGACATTATCCCCAGCCCCTGATATCAGTTGTCAACTCCCTAGAAATAGAACGCATGAAAGGGAATGTTCTATTTGTGAGAATGAGGGGGGTGTGTGTGTGTGTGTGTGTGTGCGTGTGTGTGTGTGTAGCAGAAAAGAAAGAAAGAAATATGGGAGGGGCATATTTCTTATATGTATTAAGGACATGCAGGTCCTTAATAAGAAGTTCACTGCATCAAAAACTAATGATGTATTGTATGGTGACTAACATAACATAATAAAATAAAATTAAAAGAAAAAAAAAAAAGAAGTACAGGGGTGCCTGGGTGGCTTAGTTAGTTAAGCATCAGACTCTTGATTTCAGCTCAGGTCATGATCTCAGGGTCGTGAGAATGAGACCTGTGTTGGGCTCTGCAGAGTCAGCTTGAGAGTCTCTCTTTCCCTCTCCTTCTGCCCCTCCCCCTGCTCACACATACACTCTCTCTCTCTCTAAAATAAATAAATAAAATCTTTAAAAAAGAAAAAAAAAGGGTGCCTGGGTGGCTCAGTCAGTTAAGTGGCTGCCTTTAGCTCAGATCATGATCCTAGGGTCCTGGGATCAAGCCCCTCATCGGGCTCCCTCTCCCTCTCCCTCTGCCTGCCACTCCCCCTGCTTGTGCTTGCTCTCTGTCTCTCTCTCTCTGTCAAATAAATAAATAAAATATTTTTAAAAAAGAAGTCCAGAGATGACCCAAGTTGCTGTAGCAACTGATAAGAAATAGACAAATTGCAGTTGATAATTTGTTACGAACTTGTGCTTAAATGATTTAGTGATACATTATATAATCTTGTGAAGTTAAACATTAGAATTATGAAAAACAGGGCCGCCTGGGTGGCTCAGTTGGTTAAGCGACTGCCTTCGGCTCAGGTCATAATCCTGGAGTCCCTGGATGGAGTCCTGCATTGGGCTCCCTGCTCGGCAGGGAGTCTGCTTCTCCCTCTGATCCTAACTCCTCTCATGTGCTCTCTCTCATTCTCTCTCTCTCAAATAAATAAATAAAATCTTTAAAAACAAAAGAATTATGAAAAACGGTTACCAGCAAAACTTGGTACCTCTACACTTTTACAAGGAAACAGAAAAATAAATAATCCTATATCAAAATCAGTGATAGCATCCTTTTTATTACTCATCATCTATCCATTTGTTTAACAAACACTTTATTGGTGCCTACTATTTACCAGCACACTGGAAATGAAGAAATGAATGAGATAAAATCCTTGTTCCCAAGAGCTCACTGTAAAGTAGGAAAAACAAATGTGCAAAGAAAGTAATTACTCTACAGGATGATAAGTGCCATTCCAGAGATACCAACAAATCCAAAAGGAGAGAGTCAGAGCAGGCTTGAGCCCAGAGATGAGCATTTGAGCAGGCTATTGAAGGATAAAAGGAGTTTTCCAGGCAGAGAGGGGAAGGAAGGACTTCCCAGGGAGAACAAAGAGCTTGGACTCTGTCCCATAAATCACAGTATACCAACTGCTTTGTCTTGCGTGGGTTATAGGTATGTACCAAAATACTGACTCCCTCTCCCAGGTGGGATCAAGCAGCTAGCATCCCTAGGTTAGTCCCCTCCAGCCCTGAACAGTTTCCCCCTTATTCCCAAGGGCTATAGACATATTATTATCTACATGTGCTAAGGATGCAAAAAAATGTTAGAAAGCACTGGCCCAGGTTACTGAGAAGTGACAGAGGTTTGTAAGGCCAGGAGTGATACCAAGATCACACTGGAATTTTTAACAGTTAACTTTGATAGTGTGATGGCAGCCAGGGGTGGGGAGAGACTGATTATCAGGTAGGTGAAGCAGAAAGTTGCAACAGATGATATGTTCAGATATATTTCCCGTCTCACCAAACAGCGCCTCTCCCTTAGGAGGATTATACTCCTACCCAGGGATGTTGGGCTTGGTTATGTGACTTGCTTTGGCCAAGGGAATATGAGTGGACAAGGCCTGTGCCCTTCCCTCCCCAGCAGAAGCTCTGAGAGCATCACAAGGTCCACTATTACACTGTTTTCGCTCTGAAAGAGGCCAGCACATCCCAACAGAATCAGCTTGGAGTGAAGAGGACACGAAGCAGGGCAGCAGATGACCCACAAAGGCCTTTGATTTGAGCTAAAAATGAATCTTTGTTGCTATAAACCATGAAATTTGAGGGTTATTTGTTACAGCTGAAGCTGACGGATGTGGAGCCTGATGCGGAGCCTGATGGGTTAGCCCAGGCTGGAGAATACGATTGGAGGATATGAGTTCCTGAACTGACCATTGGTTTTCTGAGAGTCAGGAAATCAATCAATGGTGCTTGTAAGATGATTAAGTCAGAAGAGAAACACACTGTATTCCAATGGCCCTCAATCAGGGCTCTAAGAATCATGGGGTTGGGGGGGGGAATCTTTTACAAGGAAGAGGCGTCCAGCCTGGGCTAGAATGAGCATATGCATTCGTGTTCCTCCAAACTTAGGTTCTACAAACCTATCCGCTCAGCATTTATTTAGTCTAAGCGAGAAGAAGCTGATTTCCTAAAGCAAAGCTTGTTTCCCACTTTCTTAATGTTTATAATTCAAATGTTGGCTGTCCTCCTTGTCATCTTCACTGAGATTCCACTCCAAAACAAAACAAAACAAAACATAAACACGCAAGAGCACTGGTAAACACTGTAGATTTCGCTGAAGAGATGAAAGACAGGCTTACACTGCAGAGCAGATAACATTTTGCCGGGGGGAGAGGGGAATCTCGCTAAACGAGTCTTTTCTCCAAAACCCTCTCCTTAGCCTCATACTTAAAACTTTACTCCATTCCCCAATGCCCCTTCCTGGCACCATGAAACCCCCCTCATGAAACCCCCTGCTCTACACCATCTGGGAATGCACTGAAGACAGCACAGTCCACCCACTGCTGCTTAATGCTGGCAATGTGCTAAGACAACTGGTTAAACTAGATTTGAAATCCCTGAAGTCGTTCTTCAAGACGCTGCCGTGAGCACCCTCCCTGCTCCACGGTTTACAGGAAGTAGAGATCTGGGACTTAGCTACACAAATGTGTGAATTTCTACCACTGGTGAGGCTTCAGGTTCACAATAGCTGGAAAATAAAATGCCCTTTGAATGTGTGAACATTTACCTGATGCCAGGAGTCACATCTTAATTTGAGGCCATTTAATTAGATGCCTTTCTCCTAACAACTAGTTGGAATCCTCCGTCTGAGGGGACAAGGGTTTCAGGGACAGAGGTGGGGGGTGAGAACAAAGGGTGCAGAAATGGTGATGCTGACAGCACCCCCCACCCCCAACCCAAGCGTCCAACCCAGGGAAACTGCACAGCAGGGTAACAGGGGAGGGGCCTCGAAGGAGAAACGGAGACCCCCGAAGCATTGGCCTTCTCCATTGCACAGTTTGACCCAGATCAGCCCTGGGACAGCTTTTCTTCTATCAACATCATTCCTCTTAAATTCTCATGCAAACCACCAGCTCAAATCTGAAGAAATCCTCTTTGCCACAGTGTGTGACCATCAGAAAGAATGTGCTTGTACTCCACCCACATCCTTGAGGAGTGACTTTACCTTTTGGGTCAGGTCACTGGCTTCATTGATGTACCGATCTCGCTCCTTTTCCAGCTGAAAGATGATCTTTCTCTGCTTCTGAGCCTCATCCTTATAGTTCTGGATTTCTTCCTCCAGGTTCTTCTTGGCTTGCTCATGGAGCTTTACCAGGTCTATCTGTTTCTGGGTCGCACTGACCGCCTTAAGCATATTCTAAAAATAAGGACAACAGAGCAGTCACGTTACTCAAAATGTGTGGGAATTTTTGGATGAATTTACCCCCGTTTCATCCCTAAAATAATTAGATACATTGTTTTTTGGGTGAATAAAGATAATCATATTCTCTACAGCTTATTTAGAGCTTACTATGTTAATTTTGCACAAGGCAAACACGTACATAAGTACACTAAGTGACCACAACATCCCAAGGAAGTGAGCACTATTTTGCTCCCATTTTAAGGGTAGGAAACCGACACTCAGAAGTTAAGGTGCTTGCCTACAAGTTCATACAACAGGGGAGTGGCAGAGCCAGGATTTGGGTCCAGGGCCAGCCAACCCCAAAGGTAAACCCCATCCCAGCTCTGGCCTTGTTCCTGTGAGCTTAGAGCAATTGAACCTAATCACGTAACAGGGCTTTGACTACAAAGTAAAATAAAATCAACTCGTTGAAAATGCAAATATCTAGAATTAACATATGATCCAACAATTTCATTCCTGAGTACATACACCCAGAAGAACTGAAAACAGATGTTCAAACCAGAACTTGTACATGAATGTTCACAACAGCACTCATCCGTCACAAAAGCCAAAAGGGGGAAACAACCCAAATGTCCATCAGCTGACGAAACAGGTCATCAAAATGTGGTATATCCACACAGTGGAATATTCATCAGCCACAAAAAGGAACAAAGTCCCGATACAGGCTACAGCATGGTTGAAACCTGAAAACATTATTCTGAGTGAAAGAGGCCATACATAAGAGGTCACGTATAACGGGATTCCAGTTATATAAATATCCAAAATAGTCAAATCCACAGAGGAAGAAGGCAGTTTCTCTAGGGCTGGGAGAAGTAGGGAATGCGGGGGGTGGGGGCGGGAGTAACTGCTTTACAGGTGCAGGGGTTCTATTTGGAGTGATGAGAATGTTCTGTAGCTAGAGCGCCATGATAGGTGCACGACACCCCGAATGTACTCAAGGGCACTCACAGTAAATTCTGTCTTATGTGTATCTTACCACAATAACACAACAACTAACCCAGTTTCTTAAAAAATGCAGATGCCTGGGGCGCCTGGGTGGCTCAGTTGGTTAAGCGACTGCCTTCAGCTCAGGTCATGATCCTGGAGTCCCGGGATCGAGTCCCGCATTGGGCTCCCTGCTCGGCAGGGAGTCTGCTTTTCCCTTTGACCCTCCTCCCTCTCATGCTCTCTGTCTCTCATTCTCTCTGTCTCAAATAAATAAATAAAACCTTAAAAAAAAAAAATGCAGATGCCTGTGTCCCAACGCCAGAGATTCTGATTCAGTGGATCTGGGAGGGGACACACAGGCCAACATTCTTTTTTTAACACTGCACGAGTGATTTCGGCTGCTGCAATGGAAATTCCTAGGACTGGCTGCCCAAGAAGCCAGGTTGTGCCCCAAAAACGAGGAGTCAATAGTAGTTGCTGCTGAGCTCATGCAAAAGGGTTCACGTCTCCGGCCATAGGGGAACGGACCAGGGACTTTTGAAATAGGGCCTTTAGCTTTCTGCAATTCAATAGAGGACATAAACTTGGGAGCTATTGGTGATAGCCATTTTTTTGCCAAACAGACTGGGAAACAGGGAGGCATTCTTCCCCAAAAGAGAGGAACGAAAGCAAAAACTCAGCAGGAAATCCAGTGATGGCAGAAATCCAGTGGCTTTCTGTGTGTCCCAAGAACGTCAGGTCAGCTTCCTCTCAGTTCCCAAGGCCCAACTGTATCCTTGGTCCCACAAGGCACCTGGTTGTCCCTTCCCAAATCTCTAAGCAGTACAGACCTGCAGCCAGGTCTGAAAACCACTAGAATATAAACACACTACACCTCAGATGGGTGATGATGCAGAAAAAAGAAAAGGTCAACTTCACTTTCAAGCATTGAATTAAACAACCACTGTATAAAAGACAAAGCCACTTTAACATGACACTGAAAAACGAAAATATATTAACACTGCTGCCTGTGAAAAACATGTCACTCATTCATTCAATGAAAGGGGCATTTCAAATCAGTGGGGAAAGAATGCATTATTAGTAAAGGTTGCAGAGGGTTGGGCGCTATGCAAGGCTCTAAGGAGGGATGCACACGGGGCAGAAAGGAAAAAAAAAAGTATACCCTGCCTTGGAAGAGGAACTGACGTTAGTCAACTCAAACAAATAAATGTGAAATTAATGTTGTGCTACATGTCCTATTGTGGTAGAAAATCTATTGGTTGTCTATCAATATACATAAAATATAAATGGGTTAAATGCATGTCTCAAAAACACGTTTAAAAATCTAAATCTAGGGGCGCCTTGGTGGCTCAGTCATTAAGCGTCTGCCTTCGGCTCAGGTCATGATCCCAGGGCCCTGGGATCGAGCCCCGCATCGGGCTCCCTGCTCCGCGGGAAGCCTGCTTCTCCCT